TGAAACTTATGGCTTGAAAGTGGATTCCAAGAAGAAGAAAAGAGGCCTCAAGAATGTTCTCAAAAGATTTGCCTGCATCTTCAAGGAAGGGGTTGATGTTCACAGGATTGGGGCAGAAATTGAGAATATCACCACCAAAATTTCTGCGTTGAGATCGAATTTGCAGAGTTATAACATAAAGGAAATAAGGGACAGGGACAGCGGTGGTGGTGAACCTTCCTTGCAATTGCTTGAGAGGCTAAGGAGAACCTATTCTCATGTTGTTGAACGTGATGTTGTTGGGTTAGAGTCCAACGTTGAAGAATTGGTTATGCATTTGGTGAAGGATAAAAATCGTCATCGAGTTGTATCTATTTGGGGTATGGGCGGTTTAGGGAAGACCACCCTTGCAAGACAGCTTTATCATCACAAAAAAGTAAGGCAGCATTTTCATAGTTTTGCTTGGGTCTGTGTATCTCAACGTTTTCAAGTCAGAAATGTTTGGGAAAGAATTTTAATTGAACTCACTTCTGCTACCAAGGAACCAAAACAAGAAATTAAGGACATGACAGATGATGAAATAGCGAAGAAGCTTTTCCTTTTTCTGCAAGAAATGAGATGTTTGGTTATCCTTGATGACATATGGAGAACCGAGGCATGGAATCTTTTGGAAATTGCATTTCCAAATGTGGAAACAGAGAGCACAATACTGCTTACTACACGCAATCAAGCAGTAGCTTCGCTCCCAAATAGAAATGCTTATCGCCACCAACTCCAGCCACTCAATGAGAATGAGAGTTGGGAACTACTTGAGAAGAAAACAATATCTGAAAATGCTGATATCGGTATTTTCTCACCCTTACTCTTCTTTTCTAAGTTCTTAGTTATATAGCAAGCCACATAGAAATTACCCTTTACAATTTTTTAATATTGTCAAACATGTAGCAATTGCAATTTTATGAACTGCCTTACTTGGTCACACATTTGTTAGGTAGCAGATGATTTATCTTATGCAATTGTAAATAATAATCAGGACAATGCTAGACAATTCAAAATTTTCTCCCAACCTTCTCTTCAATCCAAACATATCCCAAACTTTTTTGTGTTGGTCCAGATTTAATTTTTGAATGTTCTCCATTTGGCATGTGTCCAAATTTATAATAAGACAAAGGATATTAGTAAATTTCGGGATTTCACAATATAAATGTCTTAATTGGTATCCTTTGCTATTTCATCATATGTCATATCCTTAATTTCTTGCTTTTGTTCCTTGGCATGCTCACTTCAAGAATTAATGTATTTGATTTTTTTTTTCTTTCTTATTTTTAGATTTGGGAATGTACACAAAGAAGAGAGAATTAGGAATGAATATGCTTCGACATTGTAAAGGTTTGCCATTAGCCATTATTGTGCTTGCCGGAATTCTAGCAAGAAAAAACACTGTTAGAGAGTGGGAGAGAGTGCATGAGAATGTTCGTGAATACATAAGGAAAGGGACAGGTCATGAAGAGGAATATCAAGGTGCATCATGGGTTTTGGCATTGAGTTATGATGACCTACCGTATTACTTAAAACCATGTTTTTTATATTTAGGTCATTATCCTGAAGATTGTATTATTTCGGTAAGCACATTGACTAAGTTATGGGTGGCAGAAGGTCTTATCTTCTCGAGACAACAAAGACATAGTTTGGGGGAAACAATGGAGGATATAGCACGTGATTGGTTAAGTGAGTTAGTAGAAAGGTGTTTGGTTCAAGTGGGAACAAGTGGTTCAACCGGGACAATTAAAGGTTGTCGAATCCATGATCTTGTACGAGACATGTGTTTGTTAAGGGCAAAAGAGGAAAGTTTTCTCCAGATTAAATATTCTTTGCAAGAAAATACTTCTTCTATGGCAGCCGAGGCAACACAATTGGGGAAAATTCGAAGACTTGGAATTTACTTGGATAAGAACGCAGATATGTTGGTTTCTTCAAGAGATGAAACAAATGGTCACGTGAGGTCTCTATTATTCTTTGGCCTAAGAGAATGGATTCCAAAAAGTGAAAAAGGATTACTATCTTCGTTGAAGGATTTCAAAGTGCTTAGAGTTTTGAAGGTTGAAGGTCTTCGGGCAAGAAGAGTAGAGTTGCCAAGTGAAATTGGAAATATGGTACACTTAAGGTTTCTAAGTGTGAGGAGGAGCGAAATAAAAACGTTTCCGCCATCCCTAGGTAATTTAGTATGCATGCAAACTCTTGATTTTCGTGTTTCAAGTTATATTGACATGGTCATCCCAAATGTGATAAAGAAGATGAAACAATTAGGACATTTATATTTACCTTGGAATTACAGAGTAAAGGGTAAGCTGGAGCTGTCTACTCTTGGCCATCTACAAACCTTACATAACCTTTCAAGTGAGTATTGTGATTTGAAAGATGTTGGTAGATTAACCAATCTTAGAAAACTGAAAATAAGAGTGTTAGGCTCTTTGCAAAATCTGGAGGAAATCTTAAAATCTACAGGCAATACGCTTAACCGTATCCGGTCTCTAATTGTGAAAAATGACACGAATAGCGGTGAAGAGCAAGCTATGCAAATAGTATCAAGCTGTCGGGGTATATACAAATTGACGTTGGATGGGCCAATCGCAGAATTACCGAAAGAGCTACACAACTATCCAAACCTCACCAAGTTAGTATTATGGAGTTGTGGTCTCAAGGAGGACCAAATGGGAATACTAGAGAAGCTGCCAAACCTAACAAATTTGAAGCTTTTTGAAAAACCTTTCGAGGAGCATACAAAGATACTGGTTTTCTCCGGAGGAGGATTTCCTTCTCTTGAATTTCTTCTTGTTTCTAGAATGGACCAAATAACAGAGCTAAGGGTAGAGAAAGGAGCCATGCCTCGTCTCTGTCGATTGTGCATCCAATTTTGCTCGGGATTGACTACACTTCCAGATGGGATGAGATATCTTATTAATCTCAAGGAATTAACCATCAGATGGATGTGTAGAGAACTCCACCGTCGGATTGAGGAAGATGGAGAGGATTTCTATAAAATTCAACATGTACCTTCCCTTGTAATTGGAGAACCACTCGATTAACCATCGATGCAATGATAGCAAGGTAATTTCTTTTTTTTATTAATTTTTTAGTTTTAAAAAAAAAGGGTGCATTTTAAAGTGAAATGGGTGGTTTGGTTTGTGTTTATTATTATAAATGAAGCAGCGAGAGAATATTAAAGTAGAAAAGCCAACAAAATATGGGCTCCCTTGTTTAGCTATGTTTTCTTTCTCCATTTTTATTGTTTTTTGCTTCTGCTTGTGACATGTGAGTGAGGAGCTTAAAAGCCAACAGGTTAAATTTCCTTATTTTGAGACCATTGATAATTCTATCGCATTCCGAATTCCAAATATCTTATAATAATGTTTCAAGTTCTGAGTGAGAAGCTTAATCTCAAAGTATTTGAATCCAGAAATTTTGTTAATGATAGATTTCTTTTTCAAGGCTTGTTAAGAGATTGGATGTTTTTTGGAAGTTAACATTTGAATATATGTTTATGGCATTTTGAGACATTTTTAATATATGTTCATGTGAAGACACTCTTGACTAGCTTGAAATGAGTGTTTTCCTTTTCGAAATGGAGTACGATTTTACTACTATGTTCATATTGGAATGCAATTTTCACAAGAAAATTGCTGAATTTGTGTTATGGTAATTGCAGGTAGGACCTGACATTGAGAAAGTATCTCGAAGCTCTGCGACAGAGGGAGCATGTGCGAAGCTGAACTTACAGGGAGAAGAAAGATATGCTCTGTGAAAATCAAGAGTAGCAAAGATGTGGTCAAATAGTTCAAAGTTGGTTACAAGCTTTTGGATCTAGTTATTACACAACTGAAATGATTGTATTATATTAAAATTTCCTTGATGAAACCTTGTATTTGTATTCCTCTTTCGTGTGTGTCTTCAATTATGAATATTTTATCTTTGTGAGACGTACATTTACGAAATCGATACTGTAACGGATAATTTTGTCTTCGTTTATAAGTTTTTAAAGTGCCATTGGCAACAAGATAGGACATGTAAAAGAAGTCAGATATTTCCCAAGGCGGTGTTTTTAATGCTGCCCTCCCTGCACTCTGAAACATATGCACCCCAAGGAATTAGCAACAAACTCAGACCTCGAGTGTAAATATTTGTTAGTTGCTTACACAACTTTGTAAATATTTGTTTGCTTACACAACTCTCTTATCGACTGTATTGCGGAGGACATTATCGCTTTGCTTAAAAGATTTGCAACGCGCCAGTTCATGCTACTTTTAGGCCATTTCCAGCAGCCCCCTAGGGCTCGGGCAAAGGCTGGCCCGGGCAGGGTGGGGTCCACGTGCCTGGGCTGGCCTGAAGGCGGAGGGAGCTCGAGGGCGCGGCTGACGTCATCGATGTTGCCAGCGTGATGTCAGCATGCGGTTTTAAATTTTTTTTACCATTGGAGCGTGCAACGCATGCGCCAACGTTAAAAAAAAATTCAAACGCATGCGTCAGCTTTTCCCCCAACGGCTTTGTGCGACGTGGCGTGCTGTGGTCCTTCCAATTTCGCCTTGTCATCCAATCCAACGGCCTGACATTTTTCAAGGCAAAAAATTATGAAAAAGAATCGTAAAAAAATACTGTATTTTTTTTTTTCTATAAATACCAATACCTACTCTTCAGTTTTAACAACAAATTCTCATACATCTTCTTATTCTCCAACTATTATTCACTTTCTATTCAATATTTTCTTCACTTTTTACTCTAAATTGTTTTCATTTTCAAGTTTAATTTTTCTCTATCATTATGGCTTTTTCTCAAGAAATCGGAGGGGCATGGAGCATCATGGAAGATGCCTTATTGTGTGAGTGTTGGATTCAAATTAGTCATGATCCCATATCGGGTAATGAGATGAAATTCAGTCAAATGTGGAAAAAAATTATTCATGAATTTGTTGAAAGATCGGGTTCCACCTGTACGGAAAGCGCATTGTCAAGTCGGTGGAAACTTCTCAATAAAGAGTTGGGGAAATGGAGAGATGCCCTCACAAAAGCGATGAATAACCATGCAAGCGGGGAAAATCTCAGCGATGAGGTAAATTATTTGTAATTTTCATTTTATTAATTTTAATGTCATATTAATTTTAATTTTAATATTTCTTGCAATTCATATATTTTGTTAATATTTCTTGTATTTCCATATTTATTTAAATGTTTCTTGCAATTTTTATATTTTGTTATTATTTCTTGTATTTTTTATATTTTGTTATTATTTCTTGTATTTCTAATATTTATTTAAATGGTTGTTGCATTCTCTATATTTTGTTAATATTTCTTGTATTTCCATATTTATCTGAATGTTTCTTGTAATTTTTATATATTTTTTATTATTTCTTGTATTTCTAATATTTATTTGAATGTTTCTTGCATTCTCTATATTTTGTTAATATTTCTTTGATTTTCATTCGTATGTTTATCTTTTTTGCATTACCAATATTTTTTTTAAGTTCCTTGCTTATTCAATTTTTTTTTTTAATATAGATTGTGCAAGCTCAAATGTGGTATGGTGCTACTGGACAAGGGAAAAAAAATTTCAACCATACCCAATGTTGGGAGGTGGTGAAGCATTGTAAGAGATTTAGCATTATTCCAATGGCTCCAACTTTGGTGTTAAACGAGACGCCACTCCATGATTCACAAGCTTCGGATTCGCCTATGGAATCCCCTATGAGTGAAGACTCACCCATTGAAAAGGAGCTGAGGCCTATTGGGAGGAAGGCGGCGAAGGCAAAGAGAGGATGCAATTCTACGAGTAATACCTCTAAATTTTTGGAGGAAATTACAAGGCAAAGCGCCTTGAGAATTGAAATAGACAAGAAAGTCCAAGAAGATGATAGGGCAATGGCAATAGAATTTGCTAAAGAAAAGGAGTATGTACGCAAAGAAATGGAGTATCAACGCAAAGAAAATGAAGAAAAGAAGGATCGGGAAAACATGGCCATGGATACAAGTCACATGTCTCCTGAAACAAAACAATATTGGAAGCTAGAACGAAAGGCTATTATGAGACGAAGACTTTTTCGTGATGATGGACCTAGCCAAACGGATTGGTTAAATGATGAAAACCCTTAAGTTAGTTTGCTTGCCTTTTCATTTCATTGTATTTTAATGTTTTGTTTTAAAAATTAGTTGGAATTCATGTATTTTATTGTATTAGTAGTATTGGTTTTCTTTGAGTTACCAAAGAAATTATTAAATAAAATTCCTTTTTATTCAAAACATTCAATACATAAAAAAACTAACCACAACCAAAGCATTAAATTTGAAAATCTGAAATTTGAAAAAAAAATTTATCTGAAATTTGAAACCGAAAATCTTATCTGAAAATCTTATCTACATTAAAATCTTAAAAATGTTCTTCACGTCACTTCATTCACCGTCATTTCCTTTCACCGCCCATAAATGCTCCATTAAGTCAACTTGACGGCGTTCATGAATATACGAAGATTGCATCTCCGTATATCGATCAATCATACGGTTCATGAAAAGACCATCTCTAATCAACGGTTACTGGTCCTCCATTTGGCCCTATTGGTTTTTCATAAATTCGGGTCAAGGCCGTGCTCATGGGATCGGGTTCGTACACCTCTTCAACTTCGTAATCATACTCATCCTCCACAATCATGTTATGAAGGATGATGCATGACATCATTATGCTCCTCAACACCTCCTCATCAAACATACGCGCCGCACCCCTAATAATTGCCCATCGAGCTTGGAGGATACCAAAGCACCTCTCCACATCCTTTCTGTAACCCTCTTGATATGTAGCAAATAATTTTTGCTTCTTAGTTCGGGGATGCGGAAGTGATTTCACAAATGTTGTCCACCTCGGGTAGATCCTATCAGCTAGATAATACCCAGTTTGGTAGACGGTATTATTGACTTCATATGTGATTTTTAGGGCTTCTCCTCTCAAAACATCATTGAACACCGGTGATTGACCTAGGACGTTCAAGTCATTTTGAGATCCAGCAACTCCGAAAAAGGCGTGCCAAACCCATGTATCAAAACCTGCAATGGCTTCAAGGATGATGCTTTTTTGGCCTTTTCGATTTCCGTAATCACCCTGCTAAGTAGTTGGGCAATTCTTCCATTGCCAGTGCATGCAGTCGATGTTACCAATCATTCCTGGAAATCTTCTCCGTTCGGCTTTCTGCAGAAGTTGTTGCAGGTCCCTGGGCGTGGGTCGGCGTAGGTAGTCCCTAGTGTACAGAGTTTCAACTGCATCACAAAATCTAACCAAACTCTCCAAGGCAGTGGACTTCCCCATCTGCGCAATCTCATCCACCTGATCAGCAAATGCATCATACGCCAACATTCGTATAACAGCTATGAACTTTTGTTCGAGAAGCAGTCCCAAAACACCAGCACAATTTCTCTTTTGAACAAAGTATTCATCATAATTGCAAATATCATGCATGATTTTATTGAACAAATGTTGTTGCATTCTATACCTCCCTCGAAAATGAACATCAGAGTACAGAGATGTTGGGATAAAATAATCTTCCATAAGATTCTTACCCCAAGAATGCCTATGTCCGTCAACATTTGGGGCACGACCTTCATGTGAACCACGACTGTTCTGGTTTTCTTCATCAAGCATGGCCACAACCATGACAAGTTGCTGATCTAGATCTCTCTGCGCTCTTTTGCTTGCAGCTCGTCTACGCCTTCTTTCTCTTATTTCTCTCTATTGCCTCTCCAAGACCTCCTCCACGTCTGACATTGTGAATGGAATATGAAATATGAAATCTAAAATCTGAGAAATGAAATTTTTGAGAAGATGTAGTGTGAGAGGTTTGTGAGGTGAGCCTTAGTTTTATAGAAAAATTTAGGTTGATAGACATGACACGTGGCACAATTTGATAGGGTGAAAATCTTATCTGAAATTTGAAATTCAAATGAAATGTATCTGAAATGTGAAATTCAAATGAAAAGTTGAAATTCATATGAAATTTATCTGAAATTTGAAATTCAAATGACACGTGGCGCAATTTTATAGGGTGAAAATATTATCCAAAATTTGAAACTCGGATGAAATTTATCTGAAATTGAAATTCAAATGAAATTTATCTGAAATTTGAAATTTAGATGAAATTTGAAGAAAAAAAATTATCTGAAATTTGAAACCGAAAATCTTATCTGAATATTTTATCAGAAAATCTTATCCGAAAATATTGTCTAAATTAATTGTTTAGGTAAACAAATTTGTGAAAAAAACAAAAAATTGAATAGTACCCCCCTTGCCATGACAATTGCTGGAAGTGTAACTTACTTTTTGCAATGGTAGACACTATTCTTGTAAATAGTGTCAGCCCTAGCCCCCCTTACAATGGCAAGATTCCCACTGCTGGAAGTGCCCTTAGATGTAAAGATGGGGCTGCTCGTACAGTATGTTGCATAGAGGTGGCTCTTCATTTGTTGGAAGATTTTTTATTTTTATTTTTTTGTACAATGGAGGTTATCTTTAAAATAAAAAATAAAAAAAATGGGGCATCCAGTACAATGAGCCAGGTCCTCACATCCACATCAGCTTAAGATAAGGTTTTCTTTTTCTTCAATTATACAACTTGCATTGGATGCTGTGGTAGTGTGTTGTCGAAAAAGTTAGAACAAATATATAAGGGCAATGATTTCCCCACTCCTATGTTATCCACTTACATTCATTTTTTAGTTATAAAAAAAGAGTGTAAGTGGATAAAATAGGAGAAAAAGGAGCGGGGAAATCACCACTCATATATAGTTAAGGGAACGTGGTCAGAAAGAACGAAAACGCCAAAGTTTACTACTTTTTGTTGGGTGGAATTGGACTTCATACATAGACAGAAAGAAATTGCTCAACTCATAAAGAGATATTCTCATCAATCAATCTAAAAACTAGATCTGGATTACTTGTTTTCGTTTTGGCGAAGAGAGAGTAAGCAGTAGAGAGAATGGCCGAGGCAGTTGTTTCCGTTGTGCTCGAAAGTGTCAGAGACTTCACCATTCAGGAAGCCAAGTTCTTGTCTGGAGTCAGCCGTCAAGTTGAAGCGGCACAAACTGAGCTAGAATTCATGCAGGGATTCCTCAAAGATGCAGATGCAAGACAAGGACAAGATACAAGAGTCCAGATTTGTGTTGCCAAAATTAGAGATGCGGCTTATGATTTGGAAGATATTATTGAAACTTATGGCTTGAAAGTGGATTCCAAGAAGAAGAAAAGAGGCCTCAAGAATGTAATCAAAAGATTTGCCTGCTTCTTCAAGGAAGGGCTTGATGTTCACAGGATTGGGGCAGAAATTGAGAATATCACTACTAAAATTTCTGCGTTGAGATCGAATTTGCAGAGTTATAACATAAAGGAAATAGGGGACAGGGACAGCGGTGGTGGTGAATCTTCCTTGCAATTGCATGAGAGGCTAAGGAGAAGTTATTCTCATGTTGTTGAACGTGATGTTGTTGGGTTAGAGTCCAACGTTGAAGAATTGGTTATGCATTTGGTGAAAGATGAAAATCGTCATCAAGTTGTATCTATTTGGGGGATGGGCGGTTTAGGGAAGACCACCCTTGCAAGAAAGGTTTATCGTCACAAAAAAGTAAGGCAGCATTTTCATAGTTTTGCTTGGGTCTGTGTATCTCAACGTTTTCAAGTCAGAAATGTTTGGGAAGGAATTTTAATTGAACTCATTTCTGCTACCTGGGAACAAAAACAAGAAATTAAGGACATGACAGATGATGAAATAGCAAAGAAGCTTTTCCTTGTTCTGCAAAAAATGAGATGTTTGGTGATACTTGATGACATTTGGAGAATCAACACATGGAATCTTTTGGAATTTGCATTTCCAAATGTGGAAACAGAGAGCACAATACTGCTTACTACACGGAATCAAGCAGTAGCTTCGCTCCAAAATAGAAATGTTTTTCTCCACAAACTCCAGCCACTCAATGAGAATGAGAGTTGGGAACTACTTGTGAAGAAAGCAATACCTGCAAGGGCTGAAATCGGTATTTTCTCACCCTTGATATTTTCTTTTCCAGGTCCTTGGTTATATAGCAAGCCACATAGAAACCATTACATTGCTTACGACACAACTTATGTATTGTTTTTTCTTTTTTCAGTCATTGTTTGGATTACCCTTTAATTTCTTTTTTCAATTTTATTGACTGCCTTACTTGGTTACACAATTTTTTTTTTGGGGTCACTCATTTGTCAGGTAGCAAGATGGATGGTAATTTATCTTATGCAATTGCAAATAATAATCAGGACAGTGCTAGCTAATTCAAAATTTTCTCCCAACCTTCTCTTCCATCCAACGATATCCCATACGTTTTCTGTGTTGGTACAGATTTAATTTTTAAATGTTCTCCATTTGGCATGTATTAGCAAATCCAAACTTATATTAAGATAAAGGATATCAATAAATTTCGAGATTTCACAATTTTAATTTTAAATCATTCGAGCAAGGAATATCCACTAAGACTGCTCATACTACAAGTTCGCATTTGATTTTTTTTTTTCTTTCCTATTTTTCAGACTTGGGAATGTACACAAAGAAGAAAGACTTAGGAACGAAGATGCTTCAATATTGTAAAGGTTTGCCATTAGCCATCATTGTGCTTGCCGGAGTTCTAGCCAGAAAAAACTCCATTAGAGAATGGGTGAGAGTGTATGAGAATGTTCGTGAATACATAAACAGAGGCATCGGACATGAAGAAGAATATGAAGGTGTATCACGAGTGTTGGCATTAAGTTATGATGATCTACCGTATTACTTAAAACCATGTTTTTTATATTTAAGTCATTATCCTGAAGACTCTGAGTTTTTGGTGAGTGAATTGACTAAGTTATGGGTGGCAGAAGGTCTTATCTTCTCGAGACAACAAAGACATAGTTTGTGGGAAACAATGGAGGATATAGCACGTGATTGCGTAAGTGAGTTGGTAGAAAGGTGTTTGGTTCAAGTGGGAACAAGTGGTTCAACTGGGACAATTAAAGGTTGTCGAATTCATGATCTTGTACGAGACATGTGTTTGTTAAAGGCAAAAGATGAAAGCTTTCTCCAAATTAACTATTCTTTGCAAGAAAATACTTCTTCTATGGCAGCCCAGGCATCACAATTGGGGAAAATTCGAAGACTTGCAATTTACGTGGATGAGAAGGCAGATAATTTGGTTTCTTCAAGAGATGAAACAAATGGGCACGTAAGGTCTTTATTATTCTTTGTCCCAAGAGAATGGAGGCCAAAAAGTGAAAAAGGATTACTATCTCCGTTGGAGGATTTCAAAGTGCTTAGAGTTTTGAAGGTTGAAGGTCTTAGGGCAAGAAGAGTAGAGTTGCCAAGTGAAATTGGAAATATGGTACACTTAAGGTTTCTAAGTCTGAGGGTTAGCGAAATAAAAACGTTTCCGCCATCCCTAGGTAATTTAGTATGCTTGCAAACTCTTGATTTTCGTGTTTCAAGTTATATTGACATGGTCATCCCAAATGTGATAAAGAAGATGAAACAATTAAGACATTTATATTTACCTTGGAATTACAGAGTAAAGGGTAAGCTGGAGCTGTCTACTCTTGGCCATCTACAGACCTTACATAACCTTTCAAGTGAGTATTGTGATTTGAAAGATGTTGGTAGATTAACCAATCTTAGAAAATTGAGAATAACACTGTCAAGCTCTTTGCAAAACCTGGAGGAAATCTTAAAATCTACAGGCAGCACGCTTAACCGTATTCGGTCTCTAATGGTGAAAAATAACATGAATAGCGGTGAAGAGCAAGCTATGCAAATAGTATTAAGCTGTGGGGGTATATACAAATTGATGCTGGAAGGGCCAATCGCAGAATTGTCGAAAGAGCTCCACAACTATCCAAACCTCACCAAGTTAGTATTGTGGAGGTGTGGTCTCAAGGAGGACCAAATGGGAATACTAGAGAAGCTGCCAAACCTAACAATTTTGGAGCTTATAGGAGAAGCTTTCGAGAAGAATACAAAGATACTGGTTTTCTCCAAAGGAGGCTTTTCTTCTCTTCAATGTCTTAATGTTTCTGTTACAGACCAAATAACAGAGCTGAGGGTAGAGGAAGGAGCCATGTCTCGTCTCTGTCGATTGGGAATTAAATATTACAGGGGATTGACGACATTTCCAGATGGGCTGAGATATCTTACTAATCTCAAGGAATTAACCATCAGAGGGATGCGTAGAGAACTCCACCGTCGGATTGAGAAAGATGGAGAGGATTTCTATAAAATTCAACATGTACCTTCCCTTGTAATTGGAGAACCACTCGACTAACCACCGATGTAATGATAGCAAGGTAATTTCTTTATTTTAATTTTTTAATTTAAAAAAAAGGGTGCATTTTAAAGCGAAATGGGTGGTTTGGTTTGTGTTGATTAGTTATAAAATGAAGCAGAGAGAGAATATTAAGTAGAAAAGCCAACAGAATATGAGCTCCCTTGTTTAGCTATGTTTTCTTTCTCCATTTTTATTGCTTTTTGCTTGTGAGTCCTGACTCCTGAGCCTTATCATTTCCCAATTTCCAAATATTTTTGCCTCTTTTTTGTTGCACCATTACCTCTTTACATCTAGTTTTCCTTGTTTATCGACCATTTATAATTCCATTGCATTCTGAATTCAAGTTTTCGTAGTTCCATATGGGAATCTTATAAGTATTTGTCTCCATTGGATTTTTTTTTTGCAAGTCAAGTAACAGTTGAATATATATTTCTGGCATTTGAGACTCTTCGAAATGTCAAATCTTTCCTTGTCATGTGAAAAACAATTAGAAAGCTCCAGTGGATAAGCAATAGGATTTTCTTTATATTTGATCATGTTAACAACTTATCTCTCGTTGTTTTAGTAAAAAGGTTAACACATACCCAAAACGTATGTAAAACACAAACCTTAAATACGTACTCTCTTTTTTGGCATATTGGATAAACTATTACGTACAAGAGTACTAGCTTCTGAATTTGTGTTTTTTTGGGTAACTGCAAGTAGGACCTGACATTGAGAAAGTATGTCGAAGCTCTGCAGTAGAGGGAGCATGTGCGAAGCTAAACTTACAGGGAGAAGAAAAAAATGCTATGTGAAAATCAAGACGAGCAAAGATGTGGTCAAATAGTTTAAAGTTTGTTACAAGCTTGTATTTGTATTCCTCTTTCGTGTGTGTTTTCAATTATGAATATTTTATCTTTGTGAGACATTCATTTACGAGATTGATATAAAGTAAATTTTTGAAGTGCCATTGGCCCTCAAGATAGGACATGTACCCCAAGGCGAGTCGTTTTGAAACACATGCACCCCAAGGAATTAGCAACAAACTCAGACCTAAAGTTTAACATACCTGCCCCTTGACTGAACCACTCTAATAAGCAAATTTAAACCTCTATTAGTTTTCACAACTCTCTAATATGAGGTAATTTATTATGCTGACCAAATATTCAAAGAAAAAAAAACACAAGTTCCATAACGTAAATTACTAATTTTTTTACTAATTTTGGGCCGTCGTGGGCCCATTATAGTTAACAAACTCTACTATGTCGGTTCAAGGCCCGTACAAATTGATTGGTGGTCCAACACCAATTCCACCACACGCTTCCAAAACCCTAAAGTCCAGAACCTAAACCCCTCCTCTCTCCATTCTCTCTCTCTCTCACAGTAACACAAAGACACGGAAGAAAGAAAAGGAGAGATCAGAATGGCGGCACAGGGCAGACAGCGACAGTCATTGCGAAACGGCAGCGAGGAGCAGAGCCTGCTTTCCAGGGTATCGCAATCGGGGGTGGTGCAGCAGACGAAGCGAGCGGCGAACGACGCGTCGTTGGTGACGAAGAAGCTGATGAAGAGCACGGGCAAGGCGGCGTGGATCTTGGGAACGACATTCCTAATCCTGGGGGTCCCACTGATCATCGCCATGGATCGCGAGCAGCAATTCAACGAACTCGAGTTGCAGCAGGCCAACATCCTCGGTTCCCCTTCCTCTCTAAAGTAAAAAAAAAAAAAACCTAACAACAAGGAGCCCTCTTCGTCTTCTCCATTCGTCGCCTTGCCCTTTCCCCTCCCTTCAATTTTCGTTTCTTTTTTGTTTTAGTGATGTTAATTTTTGTAACTGCAGAATTTGGGCTATTATGCAATTATGGCTAAAATATTATATATTTGGGTATTGTTTATTGAAGTTTATTCAATTATGGCAAAATTGCTTTCTGGTTCAATTAAGGCAAAATTGCTTTCTGGGTCTTTCTTCCAAGAAAAAAAATTGCTTTCTGGGTTTTCTCTCTCAAGGAGGAATGTGCAAGGAATCATTCCTCTGGTATTTGTGCAATTTTACCTCTCCTTCAACTTAAGAACCCTTCGTGAATGTATTTGTGCTATGTTTTGTAGTGCTTTCAAAACAAAACAAAGCACATCATGTTCTGTTGCAAAAAAGAAAAAGAAAAGGAAGATCAATCTATATCTGTATAATTGACTAAAGTACAAGCACTGATCTAGAGGCTAGTACAAAAAATGCACAGATTATCTCAGAGCTTGGTTTACAACAAAGCACATGCTGTTTCATCAAAAAGGAAGATGAATCCAGCATCAGTGTGTTTCACTCAACATATATACTATTTGACCTGGCAAAAAGCTAACTCTCACCAAATATATACACAAGTTAGGTGGAATAAAATGATGAATTGGTTAAAATTCTAAATCTCATTAAGCATAATCCTTTTGCTCATAATTTCTATTAGAGAAAGTTTACTGAACTCAAAATTTAGGGCTTTTGGTTTTGTGTCATGCCATATTGTAGCATTTCGAACTTTACAAATAAAGTATATGTGAGTTAGGCTAGTTGTGCTCATTATATAAAAGATAAGCGATAGTCTAAACTACAAGGGATAGGAAAGTTTCTTACACGAACACTACTAAGGTGCAATGAGAATTCGAACATTAGACCACTAGTCTACAAGTCAAGACCATTTTCCATTGGATTAAATCTCATTGTGTGCCTGCTTCTTTGCAGACATTCAATCCTCCTTCTCGTAAATTAGAATAGCTAGGTTATCACTTGTGTTTTAAAAAAAGACTATACACAATATGAATAATAAAAACAAAACAAAACAAGTTGGCCTTGTGCAAACAAGTTGTATTAGCACATGTCAGGTTTTTTAGGTTTTAGACATAAAAAAAATTTCACTTTTGGAAAAAGCCAAAGCTTTTTCATAAAAGACAAAAAAACCACTCAACTTTCAAATCAAAGACATGCAAATGTATTGGATTCCTTAGGAAATCTAAAAATAAATATGGGCATTTTTGTTCATTTTTGCTTCTTTTAAAATTTTTCTCTCTCCTTTTGCTTTTTCTAAAATGTCCCGGGACTTATCCATTAGTCTTTTGAGCAACCAGACACAAACTCCTAAATAAATAAACAAACACATCAAAAAAACCATCAGAGATGGTGCAGGTTTGTTTTACTTCCCGGGGATGATGTGGCGCCGAGCTCACGGGTGTCAACATCCGGAAGCTCTCTACTGCAGTACGACGTCGTATCGAGGACGAGGGCGACTGGTCCTACGCCTCGGAATGGTGGGGCACAGAATCTGAAGGCCACACCGTCCTCCGATCCACATCCGACAAAGGCAAGGGCGTTGTTTCAGTCGTCACCTACCCTTCGTCAAAACCCAGTGAACTCCATTGGGCATCAACGGAGAGATGGCTACAGAAAAGGTACGAAGAGATACATGGATGCCATGAACAGAACGACAGATTCAGAGTGCTCGGATATCAATGGCGCTCTCTTCGCTTCAACGATGACACTCGCCAAAGCACCGTCAAGGTTTTGGCTGCGTATCGGCAATCGGAACCTGGCGTTTTCGCCGTTATGCAGCAGCCGCATTGCTTGGCTGTTCCATGTAAGCAAACCCTTTTTGGCCTCTGATGACTTGGTTTGGGTTTCTGTCTCAATTTAATACCCAATTCAATTTCTGTCTAACATTTGGTTACAATTGCATCAAATTTGATCTGGGGTTTTCCTTAATGTAATACCCAATTCAATTTCTATCTAGCTTTTGGTTACAATTGAATCACATTTGCATCACATCGCTTGGTAATTGATTGAACTTCTGTATCTAGTATTTCAGTGTGTTTCAGTAATGATTGCATTACATTTGGTTACTTTCACTTTCAAATTGAATAATGTTTGGGTATGTTGTTGGGTTCTGTTTTTTCAGATCTTAAGAGTATGATATCAGCTGGGTTGGCTGCTATAGCATCTTGTGATTACAATCTCATGGAGGCGGTAACTTGGAACGAAAGTATGCGTATTTTGTGCATTGGCCATGGTGGGGGAAGCTTGCCATTGTTTTTGGCTAGTAAGATTCAAGATAGGTTGCATTTCAAGTTGGGTTTTAATGGAGTTGGAAGTTGAAGGAATGAAGAATGTGCCATTTTTGTCTTTTATTTCTTTACCGCTGTTTCTTGGCTATTTCCAAATCCAATGTGTTGTCACACATCCCATCAGAAGTTTTGAACTAAATAGTTGGGTGTTGAACCTAACCTAGAATGATTTGCTCCTTTTCAGGTGCTGTTGTTGACAGACATAGTTGAAATCGACCCTCTTGTTATCTCGGCCTCAGTTAAAGCTATGGGGTTTCCAGCTTTCTCAGTTGTTACTCCGTCGGGCAAGCGGACTGTCTCAAAACCCGATACCATGGATGAGGTTCTGTGGAAATGCATCCACGAGAGGCTGTTCCTCTATGAGTCCGATGCTGAGGAGTTCATTCTCAACAACACCAGCTTGTACAATATGATCTTCATTGATGCTTATGATGGCGAAGATATCTTCCCTCACAAGTTATGGGATCCACATTCCCCATTTTTAAAAGCTCTCAGCAATTGGCTTCGCCCTGAACATGGCACGGTTGTGGTGAACCTTCATTCGGACACTGAGATCTTGAACCCTGATGGCTCTGCTCCATCCGTTCTGCAGCAAACCTTGCCAATGGGAAAGTATGTCTCGGGGTTTGCCAGGCATACAAGGACGTGGCAGTAGGTAATGGAAGTAGTTGTGGGGGAAAAGATTCTGGTTTGGGGTTTACTGTTTCAGTTCCTTGGGTGGCCAATACGTCTCTGGTTGTCTGCAGAGGCTTTGGGGTTAAGGGTGGGCCTGGCAACAGAGATGTGATCATGAACACTCTCATATCCAAATCCTTTGAACTGGAAAATGTTATCAACTTGCCTTTCTCTTGTTTGCAATATATAAAGAGAGGTTCTTTGTTTGTCTTATTCTCTTGGTTCAATTCATTTTTCCATTAAGATTTACCTGTGGATCAAATTGATGATGTTTTATTTTGGGGTTAACCAATGCCAAGCTAATATCACAACACGTGAGATCATTAAGTTGATCGAGTCCCATGTAGACAACTCTAAATCATTGAAGGATGTGAGGTTCACAGTTATTAATAGTTGTCTTTCTGCACTAGTATAAGATAGTGCTGGGTTTGGTTTGGGTTGGTTTGGTTTTGGGCCCAACTGGACACCGAACTGTAGGTCGCGGTGTGGCTATTATGGAAACCAAAACCAAACCATAGCCGGTGTAAACCGGTCACTCCAGTTAACTGAACTTATTGGTTTGGTTTGGCTCAGTTTGAGTTTTTAGGCTTTCTTAGAAATTGGCCCAAATTTCACATAAAATATATTTATGAGCCCAATTCAAAGCATATAAACCTATACATGAATTCAAAGCATATAAAGCTGTACATATTCAAAGCATTTTTTAGCCCAAAATCATATGTTAAAAACTGTATATCATCATCATCATCATATATTCAATATCCATCATCGCACATGAATTTAACACATTACAATCCATCATCACACATATGACAAACATCAAACATCAATTTAACAAATTCAACACAACATGAAAGAGAGATATTAGCATATTACAAGTTTCAGCAACAACATCAGAAATTACAAAGCATCGAAGCAACATAAATTAAAAAAGATTGGAAATTCATTCCAATTTTAATATTTCTTGTTCGGAAAAATAAATG